ATGTAGTGTGAAAGCGCTTTGAGTGGAGAAGGAGTTGAAAAATGTAATATGAGAATTTTTTTTCCGGCTGTTACCAAAGTAACTACCAGTTCGCTGCTTGGAGAGAGAAGCTACCCGTGTCTGCTCTCTCTGGCTGTAGCTTGTTGCATGGCTCACCCAGTCGTGTTCAACACAACCACATATTTAGCCTACTAGATATTCCTCTGGCGTTGGCGAGCTCTTCTCAGTTAGCCTCCGATCTGGGGGCATTTGTCAGCGATCTCCCAAAATAGTCTGTGAGTGGAAAATCAAGGCTAAAATCACATTGTGTGAACTCGGCAGAATATGAAAATACACAACCAATATGGTTTACTGTTTACTGTGTTACTCCACCCTAAGCACGTTTTTTATTTTTTACTTTAAACTAAATTATATGACTGTACTGTGTAAAAAAAAAAACACAAAAAAAACCTACTTTATTTGAACTGTTACTTATGGGCTGTAGCCAAATTAATGTACACACTCACCCAAAACCACAGCCTATATGACCATTTGTAAGCAAGTGGTATCTCGGCTCTGATTGGCTGTTTTTGTCAAGGCCTGGTGGATTCATGCAAATACCCTTAGGAGCACTAGGAGGAGCCAGAGGAACCAGATTTCTTTTTACAGATTTTCTGTCTCATGTACTACTGTCAGGATATAGTGAAAGTTTCAGCAAACATGACAAAAAAGTTAGTTTAAGTTAAAGTTACCTACTGTAGCTTTAAAATGTGTTCTCTGCACATTTTGGAATAGGAATCTAATTGACAAAAAGTATCCAGCCAAGGAGTCAGTTTGGTACTTCCTAGCTTTACACTCTTAATGGCATTTTCCACAAGTTATTCTTATGTAAGCATGCACAGACTGGTTATTGGCAACCTCCTAATGTTCGTCTCCACAATCATGACCAAATGTCAAACTACAGCCTGTCTTCTCTCACACTGTCACCAAAACAAAAAGCTTAAGTTTGTTCTTGCTGCAGGAGAACAGGATTACATTATATGGTAATGTGTATGTATGTGTTACTTTATGCACCTTCTGTGTGTCTTCTGGATAAGTAACTGACAAAATCTTGTCTTACAGATAAATGAAGAGTTCCGAAGGTGCAACACTATTCCCCTGGAGTCGACGTTTATCTCCCAGCTGGACAAGTACACGCCAAAGTTCCTGGAGTTATTCAGCTCAAAGGGAGGGGCCGTTGGACAGCGCATGAAGAGTGTGTTGATTGAACTGATAAAGGTGAGCTCATTGTGGGCAAAGGTCAAATAATGGGTTAATGTAGATTAGGTTTTTGCTACTGTTGGAGCTGTGTTTGGGGTAAATATGAGCTGAGAGAATGAAGAATTGACTCAAACAAGAGAGATGAAGATTGGGAGTTGTCATTCTTGAGCCAATGCTTTAACTGCAGGACCCACATGCCTCAGTGATGAAGAAGCGGGACGTGACTCTGAGATGCCTCATCGAGTACATGGGGGAGAGTGTGCAGGAGCTCATCTCTGATTATTATGTAAGTATTGTCCTAATAAGACTATTTGAAGTCTTGTTGTAGTTTTGAGAGCTTTCTCTTTATTGTTATTTTTTCCGATCCTTTTTAGTTTTATTTCTATGTGGTGCTCTGGTGGCGACACACACATGTATATAGTTGTAGTTGTGTTAATGTTATAGTGATAATAAATATACGATATGTTACAATACTGTTTTTATAATAATGGTTATAAAATAATATGAATTGACAGTACTATAATAATCATAATAGTAATCGTTTTCAGAGTACATCAGTTCATTAAATTGAACCTTGTTAGTAGTACACTTCAGACTGAATATACATGCACTTAACATAACGAAATACGTCCTAGCTGAGGGTCTTCATAAAAGCTAAAATAAGGGGTTCCACCCCACATTTGTAGACTGGATAAGAGTCATACATACAAACCCAAAATCACGTGTTAGAGTGAATGGAAGCTGCTCAGATTTTTATCTTGAGAGGGGGGTCTGACAGGGTGACTGCCTTAGCCCTTTTCTTTTTGCTATAAATATAGAACCTCTAGCTGCATTAATCAGACAGAATGTGGTCGAGGCAGACGACCACCACCTAGAGCCGAAGGGTCTGTCCGAGGTTTCTGCCTTTTAACAGGCAGTTTTTCCTTGCCCTCGTCGCCAAGTGCTTGCTCATGGTGGTACTGTTGGGTCTCTGTAAATGTTATAAGGAGTTCGGTCTAGACCTGAATTGAATGATAGTATTAAAGGCATAAAAGATCAAGGTCAAATAGAACACAAAATTTATCTCTAGGCAGATGACATATTGACATATATAAGTGATCAAGTTACCTCCGTCCCAGCATTAATAAGAAATTTGAAGGAATATGGAGAACTCTCAGGCTATAAAATTCATCAATCAAATTCAGAGGCAATGATGCTGGTGGGACACTGGCCTGCACAATTAACAGGCAGTATTAAATTCCACTGGTCTAATCAAGGGTTTAGATACTTGGGTATCATCATATCACCTGACACATCACAGTCTTATATAAATAAGATACAATTATATTATTATTATATTATATTATATTAAAATAAAAAAAATTGATAATCAGTGGGTGAAAAACACTTTAAGAATATGGTCCAATGTGAAGAAGAAATTAGGACTCCCTGTGTCCATATCTAGAGCAATGAAACTTGCACAAAATACAGACTTTCTTCCATCTAACTTAGGAACAGGGTTCAAGAAATGGGAGTGGATTGGCTTAGTTATGTTGGACCAATTATTTGACGGAGGAGTCTTGATGTCCTATGAGCAGCTCAGACATAAATACAACCTTTCAGCCCATGATTTTTTTAAATATCTCCAACTGAGACACTATTTACAGAAACACAAAGAATGCGACAAACTATGCACTTTACCCTGTAATATAGAACATTTCTTTATTTTAATAATTACAGGGACTATTAAAAAGAAGGTTATATCATGGATATATGAGATACTACAAGAAGAACTAACAGATAACAGTTTAGATATGAAAGAAAAATGGGAACTGGAAATTAACACCAAACTCCAGATAACAGCTGGACATTGTCATGCAGAGAGGGTCACAAAATTACAAATAGCCCTATCTGGAAGGAATTTGAATGGAAAGCTAAGATGAGGTTTTTCAGGGCTCCTGTCGTCACATCAAGATTTGTGGATACCTCAAATCAGTGCTGGAGGGGCTGTGGCCTGGTGGGAGACCACACACATATATTCTGGGATTGTCCAAAACTGTTAAGATACTGGCTAAACATACAAAATGAAATTCTTTTTTTTTTTTTAAATGTAGATCTTCCCTTAGAACCATCTTGTTTTGTGCTAGAAATATTGCCAGAAGATCTAAAAAAACAATAATCAGAGAGTATTGCTGAGAGTCCTTCTTCTAATTGCTAAGAAGATGATTACAATCTCCTGGCTGAGGCCGCAGCCCCCCACAGTAGCACAATGGAGAGAGAAAGTTAAGAATGTTTACTACATGGAAAATATAACCGCAAGGTTACACTTGAAAACGGATGTATTCCTGAATAAATGGTCCCCAATTATCTCATATTTTATTGATTGATATGATTTTTGATGTGACTGATGTGGGTTTTTCTTCCCCCTGCCATTCAATTATGAATAATGAATATTTGTATACTGTATGTTCATCCTCTCACTCAGTGAATGAATATCACTGCCCACTTTCAAATATGGACTCTATCTGGACATTGTTATGTCAAAATCCATGGACTACCTCTACCCCATTTACACCTGTGTTGTATCCTTGAACGTGTTAATGTATATGACTGCACCCGATAAAGGGGGTGGGGAAAGTAAAAAAGCTGGTGAATTTTGTGGGGTGAAATGTAATAGTGGAAGCAAAAAAAGGGAAAGCTACCTCCAGATCAGCCTATAGCAAAATTCATGGGTTGATGCTGGGTTTCAGCAAGTTGAGGTAGCATTTTTATAGCCTAACATGTAGAATTCAAATACTTTGCACTAAATGTAAAGTCATAAAGCACGATGCCTTCATGTTAGCAGATCGGCATCAAAAAGTCAAAGTACATGTCAAACTATTTCGGTAAGATAGTCATTTTAGGTCGATCTTGTGGATCTTTAGATAGCCAGCTGATGTATTTTCAAGTGTTAATTTTTCTGACTGGTTTGGTTTTAATTAGGTATTTAGAAGCTATAAAAAGGGGGTTTTATGGCACGATTGACAGCTGAGCCCTGCTTGCGATTGAGTCTGACTTCGATATTGCTGCTCCAACCCCAATCACTGCACAGACTCTGGCTCCAAAATTATGATTTTGGCTTAATTTTTGTTTAGTGGGAGGAAGCGGAGACACAATTTCCATATTTATATGTGGATGACCCATATATATATATAGGTTTCAGCTGAAAAGAGTGGTTAAAAAAAACAAAAACAAAAAACAGAACGTAATGGAATGAAATAATGGGTGGGGTTTTATTAAAGCCACACAAAGTTCATTAAAGTCCCTGAACTGGATTACCTTTTCTTTCTTTTTTTAAATGCAAGCATGTCAACAACAGTGTGTCTTTGCATCTGTTGCAGAGAACAGCCGAGGATCAAGTTCATGAGGACCTCAATACACAGGGTATGAGGATCTATGTTTGTCACCAGCCGGATGCGGTGGGCATCATCATCGATGGAACTCCGGTGCTGACTGGTCTGGAGAACATGTCCAGAGCCTGCTGCCTTCTCCTCGGCCTAACCTACGCCCTAAACCTGGATTATCCTCCCAAACTCGCCAAAACGTTTGAAGTCTTTCAAAGACTGTTTGTAGGACTTGATATGCTGCAGCCAAAACCATCATCAAAGTACATCAACTTGAAAAACAAACTCTTTCTCTGAGCACTGACTCTATTCATCCACAGCTCTGTTTGGTACCATGTAAACTAAGGGTTTAAACACTGAGGCTAGGATTTAGGGCCTTCCAGCTCAGTTCTTTGGAGAATGAGTGCTGTATAAGCTGTCAATGTTAGTAGTAGCTAATCTGTTTTTTACCTAATGAGACATGTTGTACTGTAGATCAAACTTTTATATTAACATCTGTTATGGGAAATATATTATACTGATACACATTTTAACATTTAAAAAATTACTTTTGCTTTTATACATTTTGTAGACATTTTAGTTTGGGGGTGACTGAAGAGAATGTATGAATACGTTTACATACAGCATTCAGAATACAAGCAGAATTATGATTTTGTATAAACAAATGAAAGAAAGTTATGTAATTTGTTCCTCAGTTTATCTGTTTTCACAGACTTCCACGTCAATAGTTTATTCTTGTATAAATTACTATGACCTTGAAAAAGTTTAGGTTTAGCACAGATTTCAGAACAATCTAAAGAAAATTATGTCGTCAGTGTTGTGGAGGCAGAATACTTTTCTTTTTTCTATTTGATGGAAATTAAAAGCATTGACATGATTTGGATATAAATTGAATTGACTATAGCATTGTGAACATTTTATGTTATTATTTGTGAATATAAGCTACATCTATCATATATTTTTGTTATATTGTATATAGGAAATTTTATTTTTCAACAGAAATTATCATCATCGTCATCCGCATATTCGGGGTTGGGTCGCGGGGGTAGCAGGTCCAGCGAGGACCCCAAACTTCTTTCCCTGGCCACATTGCCAGCTCTGACTTGGGGATCCCGAGGCGTTCCCAGGCCAGTGTGGAGATATACTCTCTCCAACCTGGTCCTCGGTCTGCCCCATAGCATCCTCCCAGCTGGAACATGCCAGGAAACACCTCCCCTGGGGAGGCGCCTGGAGTGATCCTCACAGATGCCCAAACCAACCTCAACTGGCTCCTGTTCCTAGCAAGACGCCGCGGTCACCT